GACATTAAAAGACTTTATAAACTTATCTCTTTCTGTTAACACCCTTTGGTGAGACGAAATTCACTTGAAATGAAATAACAGATGTAGGTTTTCCGACTCATTTTGAAACTCTCCCTTTCGTCAATATAATCTCCTGCAAAAGTGAACCCGCAACATCAGCATTCGAAAAATGAAACTCTCCTCAATAACCGTAAAATGTTGTTGTTCTCATATTAGGAAGGACATTGACCTACCTACCAAAATTATCGCCTTGTCTTTGTCTGGCAATTTTTTAATTTGTTCTGCGTGAAATGATAAATTCAGTTGTTCTTATATGTACTTCTAAATTTTGCCAACAACAAATGCAAATTCGCTTAAATTTCTTCCAGAACTTTTACTAAGTACACTAAAGGTATTTTGACAATTTTTACAAAGTGATTCATTATATTTTCATGAGGCAAAGTTGTTTGTCGTTTTATTTAGCCTTCATTCAGATAGTTGTTTACTCCCTTTTCCCTACTTTGTCCGTATTAGTGGAGGACAAAAGTCCTAATATCAACTGAATAACTGACATCAAAGAAGTCTTTATCTTTCTGTTATGTTTCTATTTAAACTCGTACATGGCATAAATTACTGTGAGGAGTTATTGTATTACTTTGTTCCAGTAAATATTGCATAAAAATACTTATCTATGTATGTTTGATTTGATTTCTATACAGGGTGTTCCTAAATAAGTGTCGCAACGGAAAACTGTATATTCCTCTTGAAAAAAGAAACATTTTTTTCCTCTTCCATTTTTCTCTCCGGGCTTTCGTTTTCGAGACACACGGTGTCAAAACTTTAATTTTTTTTTAGTTTTTCGCCAATATCTTAGGAATCGTTTGAACTACAGGACTGAGCTTTTGTACACACATTACCACTATTAATAGCTACTTTTTCGCACCCTTCTCGAATTTATTGGACGTGCCAGTGGTGGAGATTTTAAGGTATCGTAAGGGTTCCCCCCCCCCCTAAATTTTATGCCACTGGAGAAATTGATTTTTGAGCAAAAATTCTAAAGCGCCAATGAATTTTACACAATCAGAGTTCTCTTGGTTCATTGCTCTAAAGTCAACCATTTTCAAGAAAAATGACTTTTTATGAACAAAAGCAAACATTTTGCTAACGTTTCGAAAATCTTTTGTAATTCAAAAAATAGGTAGTAATAATTAACAATTTTAACGAAATTTAACAACAGATAGGATTTTAACTTTTTTTATCAATTTGGCGAGTAAAATTTACAGAAACTTCAAAATTACGTCCGTTGGCTTGAATGCACGCATTACAACTTCTAATCATGTTTCTTTCTGCCGCTGCGGCTTCATCTCTATCAGTCAACTTTTCGATAGTATTGACATGGAACGTTAGCAAAAATGTTTGCTTTTGTTCATAAAAAGTCATTTTTCTTAAAAACGGTTGACTTTAGAGCAATGAACCAAGAGAACTCTTATTGTGAAAAACACAGACGCGCCAGAAAATGCGCTCAAAAAACAATTTTTCCAGTGGCGTAAAATTTAGGGGGGGGGGGGGAAACCCTTACAATACCTTAAAATCTCCACCACTGGCACGTCCAATGAATTCGAGAAGGGTGCGAAAAAGTAGCTATTAATAGTGGTAATGTGTGTACAAAAGCTCAGTCCTGTAGTTCAAACGATTCCTAAGATATTGGCGAAAAACTAAAAAAAATTAAAGTTTTGACACCGTGTATCTCGAAAACGAAAGCCCGGAGAGAAAAATGTAAGAGGAAAAAAATTTTTCTTTTTTCAAGAGGAATTTACAGTTTTCCGTTGCGACACTTATTTAGGAACACCCTGTATGTCTATTTTAGCTGTTTTCGATATACATATATTATACTTGCCATGTAATTCAGCAATAGCTGGTCTTGACAGTTGGTTTCCAAATAAGTAAATATATAACGTGCCACTAATTACGTATAATTTCATACCGGAAACTAACAGGAGTAACTTTGTAACTGGCAACTCCGCCAAAAATTTTAAATGCCTAAGACTCCCCAGTTGATGTATGAAATTTTATCTGTAGTATTATGAATACATCAAAACGAAAAAAAAAATTGTTGGCTTTGTTCACATTTGGGCCACGAACGGTCAATTGCAGATTTAGGGATTCAGTAAGGGTTAAGTTGAACTGAAATCGCGCTGAACTAAAGCTCAAATTAAGAGTTTTTTGCACATAATTGATACAAAGTTAGCTCAACTGAGCGAGGTTTCTTCTTGGGCAAATGAAACAGTTCTAAAATTTCGTTATAACGATAGCATTAATTTTTTGGCGCGTATTTCTGGATGGATATGGATATATTGCGTTATTCCCTTGATTTTACATCTTTAATCCTAAATGTGTGCAAATCCAAGTCTTATGGCGAACATTTCTTCAGGACTGGAGCAGAATAAAAAACTGGTTTGCAATTTTACACCAAAAGAATCAATTTTAAAATCACTTGGTAGAAGATACTTTATCGACTGTATTCAAAAAATATTTAATTCTCTTAGTGGGGATATCTACAAAAGTAATATTATATTGAAGAAGACATAGGCAAGAGAATATCTTGAAAACATATTAAAATGAAACATGACTATGAAGAATGTTATATATTTCATACTGGAAGTAGACCAAGTAAGGATTTTGAAGTCACCAACACAGACAATGGAATAAGACATTTTGTGTACAAGGATGAAGGTCTGCAATCAGAATTTAATATTGATGCATGTGGTAAGTGTGTATATTTATTTAGATCTAGATAGAACAATCTAATAAAATTTGTTTCAGCTCAACCTCAAAATATTCACGAGATTACAGTTGGTTATATTTTAACCCATATACAGGGTATTTCATTTCGAGTGAATCAAACATTTCCTAAAGCAACCACGATGTGTTGACTCAAGTTAATCCAACGCTGAACTGATTGTCAGTTGATGACAAACTCGTATAATACAAAATATTCATATTTTATAGTTCAACGCCAGACTAACTCTTAAACTCAACTTGTACAACCGAACCTAATGTCTAACGCATCTTTCATATGTAGATTTCACATATTGGTAAAGTATAAAATTAAAATGAATTTATAAATTTGGGAATTCTTCAACTTTCATTTTTAGTGAAAATTATTGTTAACGCTTAGTTATCTATCAACCAAAGACTGAAAAGTTAAATGTTTTATAACTTTCATAACATGCTTTTACAATAAATAGCTGCTATAAATTTGTCTTTCATGCGCCATAAAGCTCTATATATTTTTTAAACGCCCATTTTCTACACTATTCGTTTATTATGTCTCTCAATTGTTTTGAGCAGTCTGGTTTAGAGCCAATTAATCCACAAGTGATGAAGTCTTTGTATTTCGACACACATAAACAGTTACTGAAATAACCACCGGCATTCCGTAAAGTTTTATGAATGATACGTTTTCTATATAAAAGTTTTATCACGGTGATTTATCATTAAAACGTTCGAAATTCGGGAGAAATTATTAGCCGGAAAATGAGTTTTCGTCGATGATTGAGCTGTGATCAGTGTATGAAGTGTGACACGACTGACACGTGCATTAACGCAAATATTAATATACAGGGCCGACAAAAATCAATGGGACATATTTCACCTTTAATAAGGTAGCTTCGACTTAGGTTGATATAATTTTGCTTCCTTAAAATACTACAGGCCTTCAAAATATATTTTTTTTAATTTGGTAGTTTATTTAAGATAACATAATTACTTAGGATGTTTTAATGAAATTGGGTTTAGAAGGGTTTTTGAGGTAACTGAAGATTTATTGTTTACCTGAAATGTGGAGATCGAGCTTTGCAATATTTCTTCTGTTGGTAGAAAATTTGAGAAATATTGTGATTTTAGGTGCTGTTAAAAGGCATACTGATTACTAGGCTTAGTGCACGTGCAGAGTTTAACAGAGCCGGCGTGGGGGTCGGTGGCCTTCGCAGCTGACTCGCGTTTTGAGCTGTTCAGTTATTTAGAGAACCTTGTAGTGGTTGGTGTCGCGTTGATACCTTTCTTTTTTACGTCTGCTATACCTAAATTGTTTTTACCGTGTGTATTTAAATAACTGTTTATAAATAGTAACATAATTTACATTAACAACTATTAGTTAGGTTGAAAAGTGAAGTAAAATCCCAAAAGAGAAAAGAAATAGACGGAAATTATTTCAGATGCGGTTTGAGTGATCCCGAAGGTTACAGGGACATACGTCTTAAAAGAAATGACCCGTTTTGTACTGTCTGTGAACGCTTTATAAATTTTTGTTACAAAACTAAAGTGACAAGACATTTGAAGAGCCGTGCCTCGTCCAGCGCTTAACACTCTGTATTTTTCTATGAACTTACAGATGTTTTTCTTGCTTGCTCTGTAACTAATTTGTTTAAAGGAAGGTTTTTTCCATCTTTCACTGTTTTTTGACAACAAAGTGTTTTATCTTTATCTTTATAAACAAATTAGCTATAATTCATGGTGAAATATCTCAAATTTAATTTCAGGAGAAGTTTCGACGAAACATTGCGTAACTTTTTTGCACTTTGACTTTGAGCCACCCTTGTCTATGATTATGAACGAAAATTCCAAGATTAACTCAAGAAACTCTCTCCCTATGTACAACAATTTCCTCTGTAAGAAATGTACTGCCCTTTTTTGTAAAAAGGAAGTGAAACATTTTAATAATTAAAAATAAAAATGTCTGTAAGTCTATAATTGAAACTGATTATTTTGGACCCTCACGGAGGGGCAGACCATATTTTTTGTTAAAATGTAACCGCTTTGTTTAAAATCCTTGGTCGGCCGTCTAATAATAGTTTAGTAGCTTCATTTATACTCATTATCTTAACTGGAAAAAGCCATTACCATTACACAGGCTTAAATTGCGATGATGACACTGAACTTCCATGAAATAACGTCTAAATGTACACAAACAGGACTGCAACAATTGAAAACAACAATAAAATTAATTAAGTCGCACTTACCACGCATTCTTTCAACTGTGACCTAATAATTTTTCCCGAAAATGACCCTGTAACGAACCGTTATTCCAAATATTTCGCCAAAGTTTCCTCTACACTTTTCTCGTATGGAAAACAGAGTTCATGTCGCATCTATGACAAAACGCGCTAGCACCACAACTGATCCAGTTTGAATTTCTCCACATGGGACCGGGACTAAACGCGCGCCTGCGTTTTTTGACTGTTCATACCGGGAGACGAGCAACAGATTTCATTCATTGTTAGTTTTTGGATAGTGAGGGGGAAGTTGTAACTGAGACTACTAGGAATGTGACTGATAAAACGTTAATACCGCGAAAATGGGGGTTTAGAATTTTTTGTTTTATACAGGGTGGTCGTTAAATATGCTCGTATAATAAAGTAACATGTTATGTATGTTTTTTTACCACAGAGTAAGTCAAAGTAAGCCATGAAAAGCATGAATTATTATTAAAGTTAAAGTAAGCCATGGAAATCATGAAATATACATAAAAAATAGACAATAAAATTAATTCTGTTAATATTATTTAACAAGGAGGACAAATCAGGCCAATGACACTACATGACAAGAACCAATAATAACGTATGAGGTAATCATAATCAAGGAAATACAATTTAAACATTAAAACAACAAATGACAAATATTTAATTTGTAATATAAGGCGTTTTTGGTAGTTTGGATTGATGTTACAAAATTATTATTTAAAATAAATTGAAAAAAATTAAAAGTGGATAAAGTTCTTGATCAAAAGCGAAATGTTCGATAGAAAAATTCACATGCTAATAGTTTTTATATTTATTGGTAATAATCAATTATTCATTTTGGGCGTCTTTTCAACCCGGGTGATTTTTGAAAATTTTCAAAAAACTAAAAGCTATGCTCATCTTATTTTTTTACGACGAGTAATTTGAGACCAAAAACATATTTTTATCTATTTTCTTTAGTACTCTGCGAATTGTGAAAAAACGGGCGATTTTTGCGGTCACTCTTTTTGTCGCCGTTGCCAAGCCTTTAAAAACGAATGGCGTCTTCCCGCCATGGCGTTTAACTGCGGCTGGACGTAAGCTCTCCATATGTCGACTAAGGTCATTAACAAAATCCGCTTCAGTGCTGAGCTCTTCATCTGTCCTGCGGGAATAAAGAAATTCTCCGGGTAGGCGTAGATGTTGTCCGTACACCATCTCGGCCGCGGTAGAAGGGTTCGTTTCCCGAACCGGCTGCTGGTTCCGTGATGGCATCCATACTGGCAGGGATATGTGTGGGTACACATGTCAGTAAGTGACCCATTTCAAGTATTACGTCAACAGCGCCAGCCTGACTCCGGACCGGCCTAATAGTTGCAAGAACAAAGAACAGACGCGGGAGGCACCAGGGTTCCAGGAAAGGTCCACGGCAGGTTGGCGCCAGGACCAGATACATATACATGCGAGCGACTCCATCGCGCCAGTCAGCGCCCGCGCCACAGAAACGACCGTGTTTTGTTTTTGTGCTCCGCTGATGTAATTTTACGTCAATGCAAATTGGAAGGTAAGTGCCGAATATCTTGCAGTATGCGATTAAGACATTTACACGTACTTAGTTAGACGTTCAAAATTGTGATGTGGGAAATGAGAGTCAGGTGACTCCCATTACCCTCAAGTGATCACTATTGCCCGCAACTATACATGCTTCGTTACGTTATTTTTATTTCTTTCTAGATGCCGAAAGTACGAGTCAGGACAACTGAAAAGGCTTCCTGGTCTTCTGATAGCCTGGAAAAAGCTATACAGCTTATTGATGGAGGTTATTATATAAGAAATGCTGCTAAAGTAATGGGAATCCCTTTTTCAAGTCTTCAAAAGAGGGTGAAAAAAGGTTCTACCTTAGGACCACATCTAGGACGATTCATTGTCTTTAGTCCTGAGGCAGAAGCCGAGCTAGCAAACTTGGTAAAGAAAATGGCAAATATTTCCTCGCTGCAGAAATTCTCCGATCTGAGACCATTGCAATCCAAGATTGCAATGAATCTCTCGCAGCTACCAGTATGATTCCCAGCACATCAAAAGAATTTCACTCACCAGTTCCGAGCGCTTCAAAACAAATTGATTCACCAGCTCTTAGGATGTCTAACCAATTAGTAGTCCCACTTGATTCTGAACCAGATGTTGTACCACCAGTTCCTGGCACGCCAAACCAAATCAGTACCACATTGCATGATTTAATCAAGTTGCCAGAGAAAACACCTGTTATTAATACAAGACAGGGCCGAAAGAAGCAACACGCTACAATTTTAACTTCAACACCAATAAAAGAAAATCTGTTAGAAAAAGAAAATAATAAAATGAAGAAAAAAGGAGGCAAAGGAAAAGAAAAGAGATGGTAAGGCAAAGGACAGGGAAAAAGACTAATGATACAGAAGAAGGGTACTGAAAAGGCAAAGTGCCAAGTATTAGAAGAATCGAACGAAACGTCTGTATCAGATGTTGGCACTGACGACTTATGCCAGGACAATGAGGATGACGATGCAGAAGATGCTGGAAACAGATGCCTAGTATGCGCCGAATTCGGAAGAAACAACGAGATGTGGTTCAGATGTACCTCATGTGGGCTATGGACTCACGCGGAGTGCACTGGATGGAACTCAGCTGAAGGTTATGTCTGCGATATGTGCTAGATTTTCTTTGACTCCGATTGCCCCCAGGGTGATCACTATTACCCCTATGTTGGTGTAATGGGAGTCAAATCTGTTTTTTTTAACTTTTATAATTTCCAAAGTTGATTGCCAAAATGACTAAAATTGGTCTCTAATGATAGTTCAATAAGTAAATTATGTTTAAAGGCGGTTGCAATAAATACTTTATTTTTAATTAAAATTTTATTTGGGTTCTCGCTTAAGTGACCCCCATTACCCTCTATTACCCTACACCCTGTATTTTACATTGAAATTTGTTATTTCAGATTTTTATACTACTGACGACCTGCGGATAAATTCATATTATCCCAGAATCAGAATAGCAATTGCGTTCCGTAATTACTTATTTTGAAAGCATCTAAATACAACAAAGGACGCCCACGCCAATTTGCACAATAACAATCGAACTAAGAACGGCGTCTGGTAGGTAACTTGAAAAATGTTCGAACAACACGTCTAAGAACTTTCCACGCAATACGCATTACGCCTCATTAACCATGCATGACTTTATAGTCGACTGACAATTATTGTCTCTTCGATGACATGTCTCGAGGTGTGCAGTGACTACCTCATTAACATTATATGAATATTAATTTATTAGTCTATTAAAGGCCAGTGATGGAAAAGTTATTGTTCGTGACTCGTGACGTACGGCCGACAGTCAGATTTTATAGAGGTGACAGGTTTATAACGGTAAGGATTTTATGGAGGTACAGTCGAAGATTTATACACATTTTTATGTCCTGTGACCCAAGGAAGGGATTAGTTAGAAAAGCATTAATGAGGATTACACCTCGCCGTCGGGGAATGTTAGGGTGACCCATTCTAATCAGCCTAATTAACTGAAACAGTAATTTCATTAAAGAAAAGTGTTCCTGTAAACACGCAAGACATACACATTTTGTTTCTCAAATTTAGGAGCAGCGACCCGATTTTCTCTTTATACCTAAAATTTAACCATTTTAAGGCAAATTGACAAAAGGTAGTTTCCATGCAAAATTAAGGGCTTGTTGAATCTTCATGGTCTAATTCGAAATCTATTCCTTAAACTGATTGTGAAATTTGAAAGCGATCTCTGTCGTCCTACATATCCTCTACTATGCTTTGGTACATCTTTGAGAAAGAGGGCGAAGAAAACATTCAGCATAAAATTGCGGTGCCACCGCTCCATTTTGATCATTGTCCCCGTAAACTGACATTATTGTCGTAAGAATTAACAACTGTAACATCATTTTTGGCACTTAAAATCTACAACAAGAACTGATATGATTTCACAACTTATTCACATGGTAATCCATTATTTTATCTCAATCTTCCTTCAATGAACTACAAGACCTAAGTTAAAACTGTTTTAAACATTGAAGGGCTATTTCTCCTTAGTTTGGGTATCTCGAAAAAAATTACTTTAAAAATGTATTCACTTTTCTAATTCCAGAGAGTTGATTCTAACTTAACTCCCTTGGATCAGTTCTAATAGCATGTCTCGTGTTTCACCACAATAACAATAAATATGACTTGGTCCACTCTGATGTCTACGAAATGTTAACAGTCGAATATCGCCTAAAAGAGTAGATAATGACAAGATTAGAAATAATTCATGTGTCCTATATATTTAAAGATTAATAGCAACAGTTATTTGAAGACAAAGAAGTATTATTGATATCCTGTTTCATGGAATATCGCGTATTCGGTAACATGGATTCACGTCTGTTGAAGTATATGGAACATCAAGTATTCCTCAAGGTTCTCTCTTGTGGCCACACTTGTTTCATTATATATTATACAAAAACACTTATTACACTGACGACCTAAAATTGTTCAGGTGTGTCGAAAATCTCGACGACTATTTGGAACTTCAATCTCTTCTAATAATAAAGCATAAAGCTTCCTTATAATTTAATTAATGTTAAAATATGTTGCATACTATTTACCAAAAGGACCTATTTTACCTGTCTTTATTAGGGGAAGGGAGGGTAAGATGACGAATGAGTTAAGATGGCAAACTTTTTGGGGAATAGATGAAACCATACTTTCTTAATTTATTTAGTCAACGCCATCTCGCCTCACATGAAAATCTGTCGTAAAAGAATGATGCTATTTGTTTTTAGCTTTGAAAATGTTAAAACAAAAATATTATTTGTAACTCAATTGTAACAATTGTTCTAGAATAAGTAAGAAGATAACAGAAGTGGAAATCACATGAGGCAAAATGTATAAGCCTCTTAGACTCCCTATTCCTACGAATTTAAATTTGATATGATGTTTTCAACAACATTTAGCCAATTCAAGGACTTAGGTGTTATGTTTAACTCCAAACTAACTTTATTTAATTACATTATGAACGCCTAAAATCTCTCGCATGATCATTTGCAACTCTAAACAGTTTTGGGTAAACACTATTAAACTACTTTATTAGTTATATTTGTTCGCTCTAAACGGGAATATGCCAGTCTAGTCTGAAATCCATGATATTCATAAAAACAGCTTAGGACCGCTTAAGATGTAATTTCTTAACATTTGACTTCCATACCGGGGAGGGCGGAAAAATTTAGGAACAAAGTATTGAAAAAAAAATCAAATATACAGGGTGAGTCATCAATAATGGTACACAGCTTAATGGCAGATTGTCAACGTCAAAATATAGTGATTGAGCCAAACATGCCTTAATCAATTATTGCTCCTTTTTGTTCTACAGGGTGTTAAAGTTGAAAAAATATTTTCGATTTTTATCTATATTTTAAGTATGTTTGGACCGACTATACTTTGACGTTAACAATCTGCCATTGAGCTGTGTACCATTATTAATGGCTCACCCTGTATACGGAAATAATGGAAATATACGGAATATGTACGCAACATTATAGTGAAAGTCCATTTTTCTGCTTTCGTATGAAGTAGGTAACCTTTTCAATTACTTTTTCATTAAAGTTTGATATTTCTTGCACTATTGATTTTTCAATACATAGCATTGCAAGTGTTACAATCAATTTAAAATTTTACGATTTTTAAAAAAGCACAAGAAAAAACAACAACATACCTGAACAAATTACGTTTATTAAGAAAAAAAGCTGTGAACAGCTATTATTTGCTTACCGTCAATCTAAAGAGAACCCAAACCTGCTACGCGATGGTAACCATGACCACCGCTATAAACACTTTTCAGATATATAGACGAGCAACGAGGAATCCACGTATTCAGAGTTTTGCAAACGAATTTTGCAAGTCGAGTTAAATTGACTGCACATTGTAAACTAAATTTTAAATGATTTTTTTTACTATGAAAATTTCTAGGGGGGACGGCACACCAGAGCCGCCCCACAGCAGCGGCTACTGAACTTTAGCTTACTGAAAGTTAAGCCAAAAACTATATAATAAAGTCGTAAGTCGTATGGACTAATTTATTCAGTATGCAAGAGTAATAATACACATTTAGCTATGCAAACGCCACATATCCCGAATTTCGAAAAAATATCAGTCACGTTTATTTACGATGCGCGGCGTTTCAAAAACATTGCAGCGTTTTCATGAAACTGGAGGTGTGAAAAATGTAATAAAATTTCTAGAGTCGTATTTAAAAAAATGAAGTTGATGATGGTCTTGGAGAGACGAAACGTTACAAAAATTGATTATGCCATTCGATAGAGGGCAAAAAGTGGCCATGAGAAAGTGTTCTTTTTTCAACACCACCTCAAACAAGGCTGAAATGAAGCAAAAACGAATTTCCAAAATTTCGATTTTTTTCAAATATTTCAAAAACTAATCATGTTAGCCTTGATTTTAAAGAGGCATAATGTTGGTCCTCTGATTACGCAACTTTGCCCCCATTTAAACTACTTCGTACCTCTTACCGTTACCAAGATCCCTGTGAGAAGCGAATTTGTAACAGCCTGCATGATTGGGATGGAATTCTAGAAAAATATCCATTACTTCGTCTTCTATCACCATTCATTTAAATACGCTCGGTTTCACTTAAACGTCATTTTTGCGGGAAAATTATTCACACTAAATGTATTTTTGGCATGTTTTGTCAAGTTAATCACTATTAGACAAAAGAACGACGCGGCGTTGTTATGGAGCTAGAAACTTTCAAAGGTAACTTGATGGACTATAAACTTAATGGACTAAAATTTTTTGTGTAATTTATAAAAAGAAATGATTTTCAAAGTTCGATATTTCGAAAACGGTTAAGGTACATGTGATGTATTTGGATTTTGTTTAGAATTTCGAGAATTGAAATATGGAATATATAGGGCGTTCCATTAAAGAAAAATCAAGTTTGTTTCGTTATGACATTTTGACTGACCCTGTATACTTAATTTTTCTTTACTGGAATAGATTTTACAAAACTCTAAAAAACGTTTTGTGTCTTATGATTTTTCGATAGCTACCTTACTTTAGAAGATAATCTGCCATTTCCATAAATGTCAGCAACCCTGAATGAATGATGAATATACAGGGTATTGAAAAAGTCTGGAACCTCCCCCTTATCTATCTCAGAAAATGCTGCTCAAACAAAAAAATGATTAGGATAAAAGGGCTTTGAGTGAGCAATCCAACGGCGACCTTGAAGGTCATTTAGAGGTCAAGATGAACATTTTAAATGGAACTTTTGACCCCGAAAATGGTAAGAGCGGAAAATTTTACGTTCGAATGTGACATCGACCATGACCTTCAAGGTCATTTAGAGGTCAACCTAAAAATTTTAAATGGAACCGTATATTTATGACCTCAGAAATGGTCACAGTATTTCCAATAGCCTGCCTCCAAAGGTTCTCATCAGTGGAAAAATTATCGAGATGTTAGGATTAAAAGTGAACAATCAAACGGTGACATTGACTGTAACTTGGAGGTCGTTTACAAGTCAATTTGAAAACTCTGAATCAAATTTTTAGTCCAATATATTAGATCCGTTCCGGGGTCAAAAATATACGGTTCCATTTAAAATTTTCAGGTTGACTTCTAAATGACCTTGAAGGTCATGGTCAAGGTCACATTCGAACGTGAAATTTCCACTCTTGCCATTTCCGGGGTCAATAGTATACGGTTCCATTTAAAATTTTCAACTGGACATCTAAATGACCATCAAGGTCATGGTCAAGGTCACCGTCGGATTGCTCACTCAAAACCCTGCAACTTTTGTCCTAATCATTTTTTTGTTCGAGTAGTATTTTCTAGTGCTGGCAACTGAAATCGTTTTTTTGGATAGTCGGTTAAGCGGTTTCAGATAATTCGGATTTTTATGAAATCCGCAAACCGGTTATTCGATTTTTCAAATATCCGAAAACCGGTTATTCGAATCTTCAAATATCCGATTATTCAAATAACCGATTATTCGATGATCTACTTCCTTTTTTTTCCCGATTGCAATTGACCTTTTTTTTTGGAGATCGATTTCTTCGTAAACAAATTTGACTTCCAGATTTTTGTACACCTTTTTTTTTATATAGACAATTTCTCCAGGTCCGTTTTTGTAAAGCACCGATTTTCAGATATCCGATTTTGGCGATTCGAGTAACAGGTTATTCGAATAACCGGTTTTAGCAACTATTCGACTTACCAGTTTTATCTGAAATCGGTTTTTACAGAACTCGGTTAACCGGTTTCCCTTTTTTCCCGTTTTTGCCTTTTTCTCTAAAAAATAAACCGGACTGATAATTTTCCAATAACTGCTAACCTCACAGACAAAATGCCCCATACTAGCATTGAATTACACCACAATACCTAGTAATTATCCAAAAATGAAAAACTGGTACATCTAAACATATTGTAAACATTCAAAGAAATACTTTGTATTTTTTTATACAAAATAAAAAAAATGGTCAATTTGAATTGGCAATGTAGTACTCAAAGCCAAAATGAATTTAATCTTATGTAGAGCACTTAACAAGACACTTCAATGTGTTCCATTAAAAAAAAATGAATTCACACATTTTTACAGCACCCTGTATAAAAGCCACTATTTTTAAAATGTGCCTTTTTCAGTCTGATTTTTCTCCGAGTAAAAGTATGATTGTGATAGGAACCGGCTAGTAAAACCCCTTATCCGAAAACAATAAAACGCAAAATAAAACCAAAGACTTGGTAACATTTTATGATTTATTTATTACAAATCTTGTCACAGAACAAGAAAAATTAACCCTGCTTCTGGGCCAACTCCTTCGCCCTTGCACGTTCGATCTTCGCGATGCGGGCCGCAGACTTTGAACCCAGGATACCACCTCCCCAGTGTCTCCTGATTTCGTCGGCGCGTTCATTGAAGTTGGTCCTGATCACTTCCACGATCTTATTAAAGTTGGACCTACAAAACGATTAAATACAATTTGTTGTTGACGTGCACATCGTATTAATACGCAGCCCCTCCCCAAATGAGAAATTTTTAGTGAATTAAAAATATTCGAAAGAGAAGTGAGAAAATTAATTTTTTTGCCTATCTTTAAGACTCCTCACTATTATATTTTTTAAACTCACCTATCACCAGAGTCGACCTGAGTCAACGCAATGGAAGAGCAAGTCTTACGCCTAACAAGGAGACCTAACCTAGCTTTTCCCTTGACGATGCAGTAAGGGACGCCCATTTTCCTGCAGAGGGCGGGTAGGAAAAGTACCAACTGCAAAATGCGAAGCGATGATATATAGTTATGCATATAAGAGAAAACAGTAGCTCATTTAATATTAATTTATTTTTACTTAAATCAGTGTCATTTTTCTTCATGCTCACCACTTTATTTTTAAAGTAACGTTCAGGTGAAGAAATTCATAGCATCATGTGTGAAGATTTAATAATCTATACAAAGTTTTCCAGCTGGAGTGAATCTTTAAATCAAAGGGAGATCTCAAAAACTAATGAGATTTTTCTTAGCCGATCGTATAGGGCCGTATTGAGGTTTTTGAGGTCACATTTTTTGTAAACCTTTGTTACCAAAGCTGTTATTATTGATTATATGGATGACATTTAGTAGTAAAGTTTAAAGTAAAAAATGCATACCAATTTCTATTGTCTATAAAGGGATTAGTAAAAACTCATCAAAAATACTGGTATTTATTAAAATACAATAAGGAAAGTTATTTCCATATGATCCGAACTTTTTTTGACACTGAAAATGTGCAATAATTTTTTCTTTATTATAAGAAACAACTACTTTGTGGACTACAGCCTCATTCACCATTGAATTACACCCGCAATATCTAATGTACAACATTCCTCAGCAGAATCACAAGGCATAGACCGGTTTTGAACTTATTTGATGTCATCAGTATGCCATATAGTTCAGGAACACTACATATTCACATTCACAAATAATATACAGGGTGATTCACAAATGGTGACCAAAAATGAAACCTCATATTCTTTGGTGAATTTTAAGGGGAGTCTTTCCTATAAAGTTTTTATCTAAGGCGCTTCGTTAAAAAGATACAGGGTGTTAAACTTCAAAAAATATTTAAAATTTTTTTAAATAATTTAAAAACTAGTAAGTGAAATAATTTGAAATTGGGCACGTGTTTATGTAAACATTGTCCAAAATTTGAGAGCTTTTTCTGAAATTTACATGTTCAAGTGGCGGAAATAAAGGTTTCGGTGGCATATTTTTCTAAATAAAATAGTACGCCACTGTTTTATGGTAATAACCATGATATTTTCAGATTCGCCTTTCAATCTTTACAAATTATTACTCTTATGTTTTTCAAAAAAATCCTGATTTTCGAGTAAAACTTAAAAAATTAACCGAGAACACACTTCGATATTCGAATATAATGCTTTTTAAAATTACATAGTGGGCTGTGATAGCAACTAATGCTTTTCATCAGATTCAAGCAACAATAAATTTCGAACAAATTACATTTTCGTTACTAAACAAATGCGGGCCTGTGTTCGTGGAAATGGAGATATTTGTGAGCATTTACTCAAATAAAATCATTAAAATGATGACTAATGTTATGAATTTTCTTTATTCGAATACATAACTGAATGATTAGTGCTTGTCATGTCATTTAAACAAAAGTGTTTTCAGTTGGTTTTATAAGTTTTACTCGAAAAACATGAGAGTAGTAATTTGTAGAAAACTGAAATACGAATCCGAAAATATCGTGATTGTTACCGTAAAGCAGTGGCGTACTATTTTATTTAGAAAAATATGCCACTGATACCATGTATCTCCGCCACTGGAGAAATTTTAGGAAAAACCCTCAGATATTGGACAATGTTTACATAAATACATGTGCTCAATTTCAAATTATTTCTCTTAATAGTTTTCAAATTATTTAAAAAAATTAAAATATTTTTTGAAGTTTAATGAAGCGTCCTAAATAAAAACTTTATAGGAAAGACCCCTTAAAATTCACCAAAGAATACAAGGTTTCATTTTTGGTCACCATTTGTGAATCACCCTGTATATAATGAAAATATAAGTTCGCGGTACATAAAAAAATTGTGATATTTGCAGCAAAAAATAAAAAAATGCAAAAATTACGTTTTTTTTCACATTTTCGAATATAACTCTAACTATGCAGTTTAGAGATAAGGTCATTAACTGATGAAATTATTTGTTATGAAATTTCCTACAAAATAGAGCGATTTTTGAAGCATTCAACTAACAGGTAAGAAATTGTCCAATTCTACTATAAAAGTGGATTTAAGTACTTTAAAGCATTACAAAATGAATTCCCAAAACCCGATCCAAATTGCTCTGATAGTTTTGACATGAGATATTTGTTAATTTCAGCGCAAAATATAATTATTTTTTTTGCGTCAATGCTGGGGTTAAAGTTAAATATTTTAATTGTCACTGATTTTCTTACACATACTTCAACCCCTTAACTATCATACAGAATCTTTATAATATCGATTTTCTTTTGCAGCGATTTTACAAGTTCAAAAAATGTTGACGTCAAACAAATAATTTCATGAAGCAGTTTTGCGGTTTAGGTATAACGAAGATATTAAAAAAACTTGGGTTTGAAAATGAGTTAATACAATTTTGTACATGAAAACGATACAGATTGATTTAAAAAAATCTCAGCGACTAAACCAAACTGGAACACACTATATTTAAATTTATAGGGTTAATAATAAAAACAAAGATATTAAGCTACTAATTCAAAGATTCTAAAAATTTGTAAAATTAATTTAAATTAGCTAAACCTTTAACATAATGTAAAACCAAAATCATAAAAAATATTTGATTTAAAATAGAAGAGTAAAAATGATATCTGAAATAATAAACTCACCTCGATAGGATCAACATCATGTGCTATAACCACCAACTGGGCTTTTTTCTGTTCAATGAGTTTTGTTACAGTATTTGTACCAGCCCTCAAAGTGTTGGGCTTTTTGGTTGGAGCAACCTCTTTCTTAGCAACTTTGGCTTCGGCTTTGGCCTTCAACCTGTTCCTTTTCTGGAGCTCTGTCTCAGGCCTGTACTTTTCTAAAACCTTAAACAGTTGGGTAGCTAAAATGTAACAGAAGATTAATACATTGGGAAATATAAATTTAGGACGAATATGGCATTATCTTATTTAAAGATGCAGAAAAATCTATTTCTTACCGGTTTGTTTATCTAATGTTTGGGAGAATTGATTAATTGGAGGCGGAACTTTCAACCTTTTCTGTAAAACGGCTTTTTGCCTTTGGATACGAATATATTTAGGCCATTTGACGAACCTAGATAAATCCCTTGGAGGCTGAATATCCTGCCCTAAAAAGTTTTTCACAATATCGTTTGCACAAATAAAATATTTTCAACAATATTCATTAATACTACCAAAACGTACATACCAATCCCAAAATTTCTAGACCTTTTTTCAAAAAGAGGATTGACTTCCTTTTTTAGTTCAACTTTCTTGACTGCCAGAGGAGCCGCAGCTACCTTCTTTCCTACCTTCTTCTTGGGCTAGAACAAATAACTAACTGTTAACAATAAATAATAAAGTATATAACACTAATAGAAAAATAATAGAACGTCAGTCATACTTTTTGGTGGTAGTAAGGTTTTCTGCAAAACTCTTAAGATAGCAAATACGGTCGTCATCATAATAAATCCATTTAGTTTTAATTTATTATAATTTAAAACAACCCTGCACATTTCTAAAAGCGATGGTGCAAGATGGAGCATAATATAAAAAACGTGTAATAAACATAACCTAAATACATAAATAATAACAAAATGTTGTTAATAGTCAAAATTAAAATAAGATTTAACTTAAAAAAGTTGTTTAATACATAGAAATAGATTTAAACAACCCAAATTCAATCAAAAATTATTAAATACAAATATCGACAGATCTAGAAATATTAACCTGTTTTTTTCCAAAATTTTGAAATACGGTAGAGAAATATTGTACAGTGTAAGTAAAACAAGCAACGTACCTTCTTTTGGACCATTTTAAGTATTACAGAATTAAATGATGTTTTAGGTAATAATAAATTACAAATACATCCGCCACTCAGCAAATCCCAACATAAGAGATCGCCTAACTTCGGAGAAAGGGCGCATGAGCGGAAAAGGAATGAGATGTCAATATTTTAGAGGGAAACTCAAATTATCAATCAGCTCTGTACAAGTTTTTGTTACAAAGAAATACACAAATATCACTATATATCGAGAAAATAATTACGAGATTAATTATTAACTCAGAGTTCTAATTTTGCTGTTGGCATATAAATAATAGCTAGTAAATAAAGTTGTCAAAAATAATATCTTGAAAACACTTTCTAATTGTCAGTAATTGCCAACTAATAGCAACTGATTTGGTTATTAATAATATTAATCACAGTAAGATAAGAGATAGATAGAGATAATTATTAAACTTACCATAGTTTAAAAGTTAATGTCAGAAAGAAGAAATCGCAAATTGGTAGGTAGGTACCTAATTGAATTTAACTATTTTAAAAGTGCTACTAACTCTGTCTCATGAGGTTTCATATTTAAAAATAAACATATTTTTATTTATAATTATGATTTCTGAAATTATTCCTACATAGAAAAGTGTTATATGCATTTTATTTTATTTGAAATACGGGAGTTACAAGCCCCTCTAAATTTGAAGTATAGGCAATTTTAATACACCAGGGTGATTTGTTGATAGTATAAAAGTATATAAGTATATAACTTTTACCTATTTTTTTTATAACTATTATAAACTACCTGGCAAAATTTTTATGCTATTCTACGACAGGAATAAAAAAAGATGTTATTGTAATCGAATTTAAGAGTTTCAAATGACATTTTGTTTCATTAATCAAAAATGTGATTTTGTAATTATTAAACTAAAACTACAATGGATATACATTAAAGTGATAGCACACATTTTTGTTACATTATGTACCTAGTATACATTTCATGAATAAAAATTAAATTCGATATGGGACAATAACAAGGCAATTTTAAAAACAACAATATATTTATTAGTGGTAAATACTTAATATAAATATTTCTTAGATAAATGTAACAATTGTTATAAATACTAAGTAATTAATTATATGAACATTTCTTAGGTACCAGGTTTTAACTGACTATTTGTTTCGTTATGAAAAACTAAAGAAGTGTTGTAATAATCATAAGAAAGTACTATGTTTATTAGATACTGCATCCCAAAAAATAATAAATTAACCACAAAAATTGTATAGACATAAATAAAACTAATTTTATATCAGGAATTGCCAATAACTGGAAATTAATGATGGATTTTCTAATATATTTTATTACAAGACTTCTTAATTGAACTGTTGGTGAATAACTTGAGTACACTCTGCTAAGGAATAATATTAATAATAAAGTCTTACTGTAAAATTTATGGTTTTATTCAGTCATGGCTGCATAAAAAAATATACAAATATACATATTTATCTTAAATATAATTGGCCCAAGAATATTTGCTTAAATTTCTTTCAATCATTACGAATTTCTTCATAAAATAACTTATAACTAAATATTATGTACAATAAATAATTCGCATCCAAAAGGAGCTTGTGTTCGTCTGTTACTTCCTCCCATACGAATTTGAACTCAAATACTGGTTCCCACCTGAATGATTAAGAGCCAAGACCTTAGAAATTATATTGATATCTTCTGGTACTTTATTTCCAAGCGCCCCAGAGTTGTACAGTAAATTACTTAGTTGATAATTATTGTTTTGTGGATGATTAAAATTACTTGGAGGTCCCAGATTCGATCTAAAGAATCTGTTACTTTGTACCTGCTGAGGCGGCGCTGTTAAGGTACCTTCCAGACTTGACCGAAAAATCCTATTTACCTGTTGTGGTTGAGCCAAAGAAAAAGTATTAAAATATTGCGTAAAATTCGGATTGATTGGTTGAGAGTTAGTTGGCTGCACTGATTTTTGTATAGAAAATGATTGAGATATTCTATTGGGATCATTATTCAAATAGTTCCCTGTACCTACTTCTTGCCTGAACGTCCTCTTTCCTTGATCGGTTACAATGAATTGCGGTTGGTTTATTGGCAGCTGGTGGAAAGTATTTACCAGAGGTACTCTTTTTTCTTGTTCGGTTACAAAGATTTGAGGATGGCTTATTGGTAGTTGATTCAAAGTGTTAACCAACGATGTTGCTTGAGGTATGGAGTGAAATTGTTGGAAACCAGCTGTCTGAATGATGGGAGTGTGGAAGTTGATGGGACCCCTCACTGGCAACACCTGGGCGTTCAAAGGCAATTTTCCCGCTTCTATTATGGGGTTGTAAGCGACGCTAGAAACTAAAGTCACTCCGCTGTTATTGTTGGTTGTGTCCGCATTGAATGGCTGTGCAGGTTTGGTTGGTAACGATTGTCCAAATTGAATGAACTGATTTACAATCGGTTTCTCTGTATTCACTTCACCATTGAACTGTTTAAACGTGGGATTTGCTATGGGAAGAAAAGGCTGTGCGTTGTTTCTAAGCCTAAGCTGTTCTTGCTGCTGTCTAAGGAATAGTTCTTGTTGTCGCTGATTTTGCAACTGCTGCTGTTTCAAGTTCAAATTTAACCTTAGGATTTCTTGTTCTAAGAGTTTTTGTTTTTGCTGGAACTCGAGTTGAGAATCAACTTGAATCTTTTCAGGTTTAGTTAATTTAGATTCTCTTTGCAAAATGTTTTCTTCTTGTTGTTTTTTCTGCTCAGGTCTGAGAATAGATTCAACTTTTTTAGGAACTCCTTGTTCGTCCTGATGAACGGTAAAAGCTACTACCAGGGGAGCTGAGAAGAACTGTACTTCTTCCGCTTTAGCTTCACTTTCTTCTGTAGAACTTGTTGGGGTAGTTGTGGTACTTTCAATTTTGTTAAACTCGGTGGTAGTTAATTTGTCGTATTTAACTATATTAGGCACTATTTTATTTATACTTCTGGATTCGCCATCGGAACGAAGACTATTTGTATCAGGCAGAGTGAAACTGCTGCTAGCGCTGGTCAGGATTTGCTCGGCGTCGTTGAATGGATCTAATTCTTCCTTTTCGAACGTTGTTATGGGAGACTGCTGGACAGCCTGACTTCTTTGAACTAGAATAGATGAAACAGGAGATTCTGCAGTCTTTTTAGTGATGGGTTTTGCTGATGTTGATGTCGTGGACACACCTTCAGAGTTAGTGAACACCGACAACGCAGAAGCAGACGCCTTTTCCACGATTTTCTCTGAATCCTCATCGGGATTGTCGTTGTTATCCTCGTTTTCTAATTCTATCAAGGCTTTTAGAAGGGCTTTTCTGAAGTTTACGTTCAAATTTATGGATGGAGGAGTTACGGACACTTCGTTGGTGTCGTCTTCCTCTTTGGCAGTACAGTTCACGACTAACACAGCCAGGAGTATTAGACAATTCTGAAATGAAGAAATAAAATATTAATACTAATAAAATTGACAATTAATGTCGTGTTATTTTTGGAGAACATTATTCATATCCAACAGAAAATGGAGACGTTTTTGGTTACTTGAATGGTAAGTCTTTGATCCAATATTAATGTTGTCTTGTGCAGGATGCTTCCAATTGAATGCGACAACAATATTACCTCGGAAATCGTAAGAGACAATAGAATTTCTTAAATTGAGGCTAAAACTGGAAAAAATATTTTCGATTCGTCTCCGGAAAATTATTGTACGCTAAATTAAGCAATTTATGTCAATTTTTGTACCCCTCACGATTTTCCAAATAGCAACATTACAGGATTTAATTTCAAACGAAAATATATTTTACCAGTTCTATTACATTGAAAATAATTATATATTATTATTCATGATATTCCGTTGTCTTTTAATGATAGTAGATACATCTATCTACACAAAGAAATAATTACAGTGCACTAACAGTTTAGTAATAGCATCTATTCATTCCTCATTGTTTATTAAATGCGACAACAATGAATTGTGAAATAAGTATAATCTTAAAAAACCGCCATGGAAATCTACCAAGTTAAGAAAACACCACGTTGGCATATTTTATATTGAAATATTCATCTGTATTTCATCCGGCCAGGTGATAAAGAAAGTAATTTTTTCAGTGAAAGTGGATAACATCCTCCCGGTAACCACACCTCACGGCACTTAGCTTCATCAACCTGCAATGTCTGTAGTATGTTTGTGATACGATTTAACTGACTTTTAATTCATTGATGCGCTTTGCGGTATTGTTTTAAACAATTTTCAATCGCATGCAGTGTTCTAATAATGGATTTTGTGAATCTGATTAATCATGATTAATTCGCACACTAAGGTATCGAATTGTTAGTAGGTACTTGATTCTGTGCAGGATGCCACTAAAATATATTGTACAGGGTGCATTTAAATAAAGGAGCACATAGCTACCAGATACCTTATCCTGAGAAAAGCCTGCACAAGAAATCTATGAAAAAGAATATATATTCTAATACAAATTGGTTACATTAACGTATTCGAATAGTATAATATTTTTCCAACAATTATGCTTACGGTATGGCACACTCTTTTTTAAGATGTAGGTAAATTTGAAACATAATTTTTAACGCGATGTTTAGAACATCCTTAGAAGATTCAATGATATGTCTAGGTAAAAAAAGCAAATAGTGTCGTAATTCGTAGAAATAACAGCGGGTCCAATTGCCTATAACACTTTTTCAAAATTTGAGTATTAACTAATACATAACCTAAAAATGATTTTTTAATTCCTTTTTTATTTACATATTTCAAAATATGAAAAAGTTTCTAGTTAAGAATCTTGAAATGTCTTAAGTCTTACATAAAAGTCATGTTGTTCCAAATCTGTAACAATAATTAGAGTTTCCAAAAAAAAGCATTTAGAGTTTTGGGATAATACTTTACAATTTTCGCTTAAATTCAGGTAAATTATCATTATTTTTCACAATATTTATTAATGAATAATAATTGTAATTAAAGATATTTAGTGGATTTTAATATCTGCAACTCTCTAAACTATTTTTTTTACATTTTTTAGCTGTAGGCTCCTCAATATTAATCGCGTTTTGTCTCTAAAACAGATAATGTTATCGATATAGAACACAAACAATATTTTAATGATCTTCAACTGTTTAATTTTTTGAAAAAAACATAAGTAAATTGGTATTTTAACACCTTTGGGGCTTTAGAATTTTGAAATTTTTTTTCGTTGATACGCTTTATTACCATTAAAATTGAAAAAAGTGCATAATTAGACAAAGTTGTTGCAATCTATTAATTTTAAAAAGATTGTCCTTGAGGTTATGTAATTCCATTAATATTTCGTAATAGAAATAGTAAAAGGAACTAGAATTATTTTTGTGAAAAGAGTGACCTCTTAAATTTTCTTCTCGTAATTTCCGGGCACCCTGTATAATAAATATACAAACAATAAGAGAAAGATCCCACTAAACACGAAACGTAAATGAAATGTTGCAAATGAGATGTTTTACTAAACATTTGAAACATTAACTAGAAACGTTTCTGTTTCATTACAGAAATGTAGCACTTGAAAACTTATTTAGTGAAACATAGCCGAAACTTTACAATTGAAGAGAGTTTGAAACAGTACTCGAAACATTACCTTTTGATCTCGGAAACATAACAGACGAACAACCCTTTGCTATTTTTGCTTATCTTAT